GAAATGCTGTTTTTTAGTGCTGGGAATGGAACACAGGGCCTCACTAGGCTAGCAAGAGCTCTACCACTGAGCCATACGGCCTTAACTCGCTAGCTCCTTTTTTTAATGCAGTGGAAGCCATGAGAACAATTTGATCAGGCAGTCTATACCTCTTTAAGAGTTTGGCCAATAACCATAACTCATTCCAGATTAAATCAGAAATACAGTCACTTTGAAGAGGCAATATGATCTCACTTCAACTTGACCTTGATATCATTATATCTGATGAAAAAAATGTGTCACTCAGAAGAATAACAGCCCAGTACAGGAAATGGGGACTCAACGTCCAGGCACAGCCTGAAGATGCAATCATGTCTCTCTAGAGGTGCTTTGAGCTACAGGGCTTAGACTTATGCCACTGTCCCCATGGCCAGGATAAAAGATCCCTTGGAACCACTTACATAACTTCACTTCAATCTTGTCTTCACTTAGCAACTCTCTGACTGTTAATTCAGCTTCTCAAGTACCCTGATACTGGAAGGATTCATTAGATGATAAAAATGAACGTTTTAGTGACTGGAAAGAGATATCCCCCATTAAAATTAATAAATCAGTAATCAGATTTATACACCATTCCCTCATAAGTTAATATCAGCTTGTCCTTTTTGCTTGTCTCAGGAGGCATCCCATGGGGCACTGGCACAGAAACTTCTAAAACTACAAATCTAAAACTAGACCCAGACAATAGGAATTCTACCACCCAGTGCAGGCAGGCAGCCAACCCCCTTATGTATCTCTGCCCCCTCATGTTACAAAAAAAGGGTAAGAATGCATGGTCTTAATATCCTGTGAATTTAGCACTATGTGACTATGTGAGTCAGAAGGCAGCTTTGCCAGTCAAAAACCAATGTTAAACTCATTGTACAAAGATAGAAAGTATATCTATCTTGTTTGTTGTGAGCACTAGGATACTATCTGTCCCATTTTAAGAAATCAGTAAGTTTAAAAAAGAAAACCAATTCAAGAATTATTTTTTTCAATGAATAAAGTTTTTAAATAAAACAAAAAGGGGCTGGGGATGTGGCTTAGTGGTTAAGAGCACTGACTGCTCTTGAAGAGGACCTGGGTTCGATTCTCAGCACCTACATGGCAGCTAACAACTGTCCATAACCCCAGTTCTAGGGAACTCGATGCCCTCTTCTGATCTCCAAGGGCAAAACACATGCAGGCAATACGCTTATACACATAAAATGAAAATAATAAATAAAATATTTTTAAAAATAAAAAAGATAACAAAGAGAAAAATTAAGCAAGATCATCTAATATCTTGCTAGAAAATTAAACTGCTGATGAGATGTGAAGACTTTATAAGAATATTATGTCAAGTGGTTTCTATATTTTTGGAGCTATGCATAGATTATTTTGGAAAAAGAATTATGAAAGTAGGTAATTGGATTAATAATTATAGTTCAAAACTGTAATGATGCAAGTTGTTCATGCTTGTTAATCAACTTTCTGTTACTATAACAAGATACCTGACATAATCAACTTAGAAAGAGAAAAAGTGTATTTTGGTTCACAGTATATAGCCTGTTAGCCCCCACTGCAACACATCATGGAGGGATGATGTGGAGGGGCAAATTTGCTTACTTTATGGTCAGGATGTGGGAGGAGGAGGAGGAGGAGAGGAGGAAGAGGAGGAGGAGGAGGGGGGGAGGAGGAGGCAGCTGCAGCGGCTAAGGACTCACAATCCTATGTTGTTTCAGTGACTAGACAATCTCCCCATAGATTCCACCTCTTAAAGTTTCCACCATCTTCCGACAGCACCAAGCTTTAAACACATGGCCATTAGAGGATCTTCCAGATCCAAGGAGGAGGAGGAGGAGAGGAGGAAGAGGAGGAGGAGGAGGGGGGGAGGAGGAGGCAGCTGCAGCGGCTAAGGACTCACAATCCTATGTTGTTTCAGTGACTAGACAATCTCCCCATAGATTCCACCTCTTAAAGTTTCCACCATCTTCCGACAGCACCAAGCTTTAAACACATGGCCATTAGAGGATCTTCCAGATCCAAACTACAGCACTGCTCTAATATAAGTATAAATTGAGATTCTCGTAAATTATTCCTGTATGCTTATTATCCCATTTGAAGAAGAGAGGCATCTCAAAGCCCACAGTATTTGTTACAGGACTCAGGGATACATATCTATAGAGAGATGCTTCACCAAAACTCTGATGGGGAGTAAGAGGAGCCAGAGGAAGGCAGAATATCACTGCTGCAGCATTGTCCTTACTTTCTGTGAGAGAGCCTATGATAGCCCGTAGTGGATAATTTAGGACATGCAAACCTTTGTCATGGAGACTCAACAAGCCTTTCACACATAGTATAGATGCTGCTGGGTCATTTCGTATAATAGCATGCTGAAGTATTCTGAGCTCCCTAATAGCTAAGCTGTTTGTATGCTGTTATAAAGTCAGCATGTTTGGGGCTGGAGAGATGGCTCAGTGGTTAGGAGCACTGACTGCTCTTGCAGAGGACCCGGGTTCTATTCCCAGCACCCACATGGTGGCTATGAACCATCCTTAACTCCAGTTCCAGGAGAATCTGAAGCCCTCTTCTGTCCTCTGCGGCATTGCATGACACGGGTACATTCGCATACATGCAGGCAATACACTCATACACATAGAATAAAAAGAATAAATAAAATATTAAAAAAATAAAATCAGCGTGTTTGACCTATTAAAATCTAATGCTAGTGATATAGGCCAATCATAGGACAAAAAATGATGATTCCACTTATGTGAGGTACCCAGGGGAGCCAAATACAGAAACAAAAAGCAAAAGAGAAGTTAGGCCAGCTAGGGCCAAGGGAGGACGAGTTGTTGTTTAACCAGTACAAAGCATCCTTTTAGAACAGTAGAAAGTATATTTTTAGAGATGGATGGTGGTGAGGGTTACACAGCAACAGGTATGCACTTAAATTACACTATTAAAGCATGGCTGAAGTTATCAATCTTATGTCTATACTACAATAAAAATATCTAGTGAGGAGCCAGTCACTCATTTGACTTAGCAGAAATAATTAGGGGTGGGGGGTGAGACTGGAAACCTGGATGCATCATCCTCTTCTGCCCACCTACAATGTCCTGAGAAGTAATCATCCCTTGTGACCTTGTGACTTGAAGTAGACAGAATGCCATTCCTTCCTGGTGCTAAGAACTCAGGCATCTTCTACTGAGGGCCATTGCCCTTCTCTGAGGTGTGCTGTGTGCTGCAGAATTCCTTCATGTAAGCCACTACTTTGAAATAAAATCAAGACCCTGATCTAGAATGTTTTTTTTATTCTCCTTCCTCCTTCAGCTCCATGCCTTGTGTTTTACCAGAATGTACTGCATGTTTTTCCTCTTCAACGAGAGAGAGAGAGAGAGAGAGAGAGAGAGAGAGAGAGAGAGAGAGAGAGAGAGAGAGAGAGTATCATATTATACAATCATGAGAGAGAGAGAGAGAGAGAGAGAGAGAGAGAGAGAGAGAGAGAGAGAGAGAGAGAGAGAGAGAGAGAGAGAGAGAGAGAGAGAGAGAGAGAGAGAGAGAGAGAGAGAGAGAGAGAGAGAGAGAGAATTTCATATTAGAATCATTTAGGGAGCTTGAAATTTTCAATTTAATGTGTAGCAAGTCCAAGATATTTTGGGGTTGGGGTTTGTTTTTTTATTTGTTTTAAGTTCTCCCGGACATCCTAATAAAGGTCAAGGTGGAGAACCGCTGGTCTTACTTGAGTTACTTAATTTACCCTCAGTACTGGTTAGCTTTTATTGTCAACTTGACACAAAACTAGAGTCACCTGGGAAGAGGGAAACTCAGTTGAGGAATTCCCCCATTACACTGGCCTGTGGGCATGTTTGTGAGGCATTTTCTTGATTGCTAATAGATGTAAGAGGGTGCAGCCTACTGTGGGCAGTATCATCTCTAGGTGGGTGGGCCTGGCTGTATATATATATATATATAAAGGCTAGCTAAGCATGAGCCGGGAAGCAAGCCAGAAGCAGCATTCACCCATAGTTTCTGCATCAGCTCTGCTTGAGTTCCTGCCCTGACTTCCCTCAGTGATGGATAGTGACCTGGAAGTATAAGCCAAATAAACCCTTTCCTATCCTAAGTTGCTTTTTGGTCATGGTGTTTATCATAGCAACAGAAACCAAACTAGAACATGCTTGACACCTGAGGCCCCTCATATTTCTCCCCACCCTAGTCTGCATCTCATTCTGTTATAATCACTTGTTAACCCCTCCCTTCTGAAGCTTAGGTTTACTATGGTATCCGTAAGACATACAACAGTGCCTGGAACATAGTAAAGACTCAATAACTACCTTCAGTTTTTTTCCTGAATTAAATTGGCACCAATAGTGTGTAACAGGCTTTCTTTTAACTACCTCATTCACAACTGAGCCTCTGAACTCAGAGGAGCCAAGACATTTCTGCAAAGCCATACATCAATGGACTAGCAGAGTTAAGGTTTGAACCTAGTTCTCTGCAGACTTTACATTCTACCACACTGCTTTCTGACCTGCATAAACTGTTCACATAAAATGAAATGTTTCTACTCAACAATTTTGAAAGGCAAGATTAGTGACTATGATGAGTACACTGTGAATCAAAGAGTAACACACCCCCAAACTCAACTTCTTAAGCACATTTTGGAGGCAAGTTTTTGCAACATGTTGAGCTCAGATTAATAGCAGGTAACTTGCTGCCGAGGCTTCATCTCTGTCCTCAGAGGATCACCTCTCAGGATTCAACCTGCTCTTTTCCAAGAATCCAACATTTTAAAAAAGGCAATAACAACAACATCGAAACAGTTTTGACGTACCAAGTTTCTAAGCAAACAACAAAACGAAAAGAGAAAGGGAAATCTGAAAATTATAATGTCCTCTGTATCTTTCTTGGGCAACCACACCTGTACTGCTGATGGCCACCTACTCAATTCTAGCAAACAACCAGAAAAGTAGGTGTTAAAAATACAAAAGGAGATCCTTTTTCGGCTCCTAAGTGTGATGATTGGGTATTCATGTGGCTGCATGACATGTGCCGCCCTCAAACCTTGTTATGCACCACACCAGCATATTACCTGTAAGTAAAAAAATACAAAAGGAGTGTTTCAAGTTTCCTGTGGCTACACTAGTTCTCTGCAACAGTACTTGTTTCTCCCTAAAGGCAAATACTGCTGAAACCCCTCCACGGCCTGGCTAGATCAGAGCACCCACCATAGTGATAGACATACCTTCATGAACTATCATTCCAAAGTACAGAGTGCTATTGACATCAGAGGCTTGCTGATGTCCTCTGATGAACTTCCCTTGCTGCTTATGAGAGAAGTGTGGCTGCCAAGTGCCAGGTGGCATGGGAGTGCCAACTGCTTTCTTCTCAGTACCCAACCCCACCTGTCATTATAGGAAATTTCAAAGCATGTACAGTAGTAACTAAACACTTCTACTCATACTTGACGTAGACAGTAAGCACAACATGTACAAGTTTGTGATTAAGGCAGTGAGTCAGGCCACAGAGAGGTTTGCTGAGTGTTCTAGTGTCATGCTGTAGGATGGGCTGACAGATAGTAAATCTTGGCATAGATGAATCAAGACACCTTTTGTAATTAGCCTGGAAATCTGGAAGTTTCACGACTGGCCAGCCAGTTACTCCAAGTTTGTTGTATAACCTGTTGGGATTTCATGGGGAGATAGACTTTTCATAGACTTACCCAGTGGGACTGACAGGTAGGAAACCATAGTGATTAGGAGTGATTTGGGTCAGGGGTTCTAGGTGAGTCCCAGATCTAGAATTTATTGGTCTTAGAAACTTTGGGTAACTTATTTCATATCTCCTGGTATTTTTTTCTCTTAATCTGAGGTGGGAGGATAGCTAAAAGGATATTATAATAATTACTTCATATAAGTAAAACCCTTGGCATAGCTAGCCATTTTCATTTTAAAGTGTTCAATAAATCATAGTGTGTGGCTCTGCGAGTCATGACTGTTAATTCCTGTAATCTTCTACTCCCAGCTCCACTGGTGGCCTCTTACTCAGAAGCCAGTCCCCCAGGGTCCCACAGTATCTCATAACCATGGCCACCTCACTTGGACTTTCTGATCAAATATTCTGAGTCTATAGATGTGATGTGAATTGTATAATTAAAGCAGCTGTGAAATAACAGATGGTGAAGTCACTAGGCCTGAAGTGACATGTAAAACTTATTGGGGCAGGAGATAAAACTTTTAAAAAGTTAACTGTTTAATTATTTATGTCTTATTGAAATCTCATCTATTTGTAGGATTTGTTTAAAATGCATGCCACACATACATACAATAAATTACACAGAGAGAAATAGAACGGGTTAGCTGCATCATTTTACTGAGTCATGTCCCAGGCTATCTTAGGGTGGTTATGGTCATATGGGAAAATCTGGTTATAAATGCCCTGTCACCAATGCAAAGAACAAATGACCAATTACAGCATTTACATATGCCAATATAAGTCTTATATGACAGGCACCATTCTAAGCTTCTTACTTGATGGCCACTGTTAACCCCTCTAATCAACTGGTTCTGCTATTGTTGCTGCTTACGTGAATAGGAAACTGAGGTGCCAAAGTGTTAAACAAGTATCCCAATTTTCACGTTGCAGCACTGAAATCCGAGCCCAGGTCACCTGGATTCACAGCCCATATGGCCAAGGACTGAGCAACACGGTTTTGATAGACAAGGTAGCACAAATAACAGCAGGCCAGCTGTTCAGAGGACCCATTTCCTAACGTGGAGTTTTCATAAAGACAAAGCAGTTTGATGGCATATACCACCCAAATATAGGCGCTTCCAGGGCAGTTAATCTGTTTAATGGAAAAAGTGGAAGTATACTGTATATGGATGGTAACTTTTTGTTTGTGTGTGCCAAGTGATTAAAGCCTTCATCACAAAATATAGAAAAGATATAAGTCAAAAAATAAAGGGCATTCTTTTTAAACTGGAGATAAATTTGGCTCGGTTTTTACAAAGTGGATAGTGTCCCCATCGTTCTCATCTGCCCTTGCTTGGTGAAGACCAGCCAGACATACCAGAGGTGCATGAACCACGTGTGAGGACCACTGACAACCTCCCCTTGGATTCCTTCTTGGCCACAGAACACCCAAGATTAGTAGCAGAATGGATCCTTCTGCTGGATCCCAGGAAGCTCTCCAAATTAGTTTCCTAAGAACCAGATGATGTAATCCGACCAGATAACTCAGAGGATTTAAAGAGCAGCTTGAACAGCCCCCTGCAGTGGTTGACATACACCATAGTGACACTCATCAGGCCACATCCTCAGTCTGGACTGACACTGAGGACTGCTACCTTTAAAAGAACAGGAAATGGATATAGAAAAGAATAAGATAAACACTTGGAACTTCATTATATTTTCCTGATGCTAACCCATGAGTGGCATTTTTCTGTCTTCTTTTGTAAATAATTCACATTGTTTGTAAATTTGTGTTACACCCATTGAATGCTTTCAGAGGCTGAAGCAAACCACCCTACATGTCCAGGGTGTTGTATTTATAATACCTACAGTTCCTATATTTCCATTAGAATGCAATTATCTTGCTCAGGAAAAAATAAAGGTCACTGGGTTAATGGAGCTCACCTTTCATTTTTAGTCCATAAATAATAAATCAAATATAATATTTAAAGTGAAAACCACATCCTATATATCACTGTGTTTCTGATGCTTTCTTCATAGGACCTTTGAGTATCTGGCCCTCACTCTGTCATAATACTTGCAGTCCATCAAGTTTCTATGGCACTGGCTTGAGGAAGTACACAGCACACAACTATTAAGTTGATAGTCATCAATACTAAAGCAGTCAAGAAATTTCTCATGGCATTTTCAAGTCAGATTACTGTACATTCTGCTCCAAGTCTGAGGAGTTTGTCACAGAATGATTTATATCCCAAAAACCTCACAAGCTTGATCGGATAAGTACTGACAAAGGTACCATTTGAAATCTTTGAAATCAAATACAGATTCCTATGCTTTTAGAATATACTTGTGAGTAGACAACAGATGGTACTTGTAACCAAGCTACTACTACTAAATCTTTCTAGGTAAGACTCCAATGCAACTCATTTCCCTAATGAAGGAACAGAATTTCCTAGCAACTAAATAGCTGAACAGGGCTCTCAGCCCAAAGGAGTCTAATCAATGCTTTCACTTCAGCCCTCCCAGGGGATCAACTAAGCAATCACTCTGTAGCTGGCACATGAAGACTTATAAGGCAAAATGAGGATGCATGGCCTAAATAGCTTCAGAAAATCATTTGTCATGAGTAATAATAATAATTTAAAAAAAAAAAAAACAGCTTCTACTAGAGCACCATGAACCTCAAAACTAGGGTTTGGTGTCCCATAAGATTTAGTGAATAAAGACTTTTAAAATTAAAAAGGGTATTATGGTGCACCCTGAGCCTGCTATAAAAAATTGTTAAACACTTGTAGTTACTCCCCAAAATAATGATAATGAAAAAGTGTTCTTTCTGCTTCATGTATTGTGATGGGCACACACCAGACTTGCAAGCAGCTCCAGCTGGATCACTACGCTGCAGCAGCCTCTCAGCATGGCCCCATGAACAGGGATTTTAACTTCACATCATGCACACAGCAATGAATCCACCAGCCAAAGGTTTCCTAAGCAAAATAGTGTTTATACTCATTGGAAAATTTTTTTGAGGACATGTGTTTGCCACCCACCACAAGTAATTAATTATTTTTATTACAATTAATGACAATAACAATCACTGCTATTTATTCTTCTGCCAGGTACTGATCTAACAGCTTTCATTTAATCCTTGAAAATATCTTGTGGTCTGCAGCAAGGTGTTCTCTAATTAAGGCTGTAGTATCTATCAGCACACAGCACCAAAATCTAACATTATTTGTCCCATAGGCAGAATTTTCAGTCTTCATTCCTAATGCAAATATTTTTGGCTTTGAAACATAACTAAGCCTCACAAACAGGTTTCCTTGAAATATTAAACCTTTATGAATGTGTTCAGGTACTTATGTCTTTACTTATTACCAGAAGTTTTACATCTGTTTCACAGAGAATGGAAGTAGGACAATTGGCATTTGTTAAGAAGCAGATTTTCTGGAAAATAGAAGCAAATTCAGTGCTTCTGGAATGATTTTAGCTCTGACATTATTCTGGGGGAACTATAGCATTATAAGTATGTTTCACTTTAAACGTGACTTTTCGATTTTTAAAATTGATAGAATATAGTATCCGAGGGTACAGTATATGGATACATGTAAAAAATGCATGGCACTCAAACCTGGGCCACTGGTATATTCATCCCTTCAAACATTTACCATTCTCTATATTGGGAACATTCCAAATCCTCCATTCTAGCTATTTCAAAGCATATGATGAATTACCATCAACTCTAGTTATCTTACCATGATTTAGAGCACTAGAACTTATTCCTCCTAAGAAAAGTGATTTCTTAAAAGTAAACTTTGAGCTTACAAGTGCTAATAGATGAGGACTAGGTTGGGCCCTACCTCCATGCAACCCACAAGCCTCAACTGTACCAACTTGTGCAAAGTATTATACAAAACCGGAACACAGGTTGAGTGGTTCTTTAAAATGCTACATGTGTCAAAACAGAAGCTGATCTGTGAACACACATATGGCTGTGCCCTATCACAACCTTTATAGCTAAGAAAAAAGGGAGTGCTTGATCTGAAGGCAACAACCCTGATGGGAGAAGCTGATATAGATCCACAACACTTAGCGAAGGGTATGGTGTTGGTGTAGACATCTGTGAAGTTTTAACATGTTTTTATGATCATGAAATTGGAAAAGAGGGTCAGGGATATAGCTACATGGTACAGCACTTAGAATACTCAAAGCCCTGAGTTCAATATCCAGCACTGAGAAGGAGGAGAGGGAGAGGAAGAGGAAGAGGGAGCCAGGTTCAATGCTCGGCACCTCATAGACAAGTTTTAAAAATAAAATTTGGAAAAACAGCAGTCCAGATGCTCTCCTATTTCTTTTTAAGGGCTCAGGCACACCTGCTCCCTTTTACCTGCACAGGTTGGACACGGCCCAG